GGCGCACTGCAGCCGGCACACCGCGCTGATCCGAAGGCAGGAGCCAGGTGTTTATCCTGGTCTCCCATGGGGTGCAGGGCCCAAGCACTTGGGCCATCGTCCACTGCACTCCCTGGCCACAGCAGAGAGCTGGCCTGGAAGAGGGGCAACCAGGACAGAATCCAGCGCCCCGATGGGGACTAGAACCCGGTGTGCCGGCACCACAGGCAGAGGATTAGCCTGTTGAGCCACAGTGCAGGCCTTTAATAATCATCTTTTAATTCATTTCTTCCCATGAATTTTCTGAAGCTACTTGCATATATGCTACTGAAGTTGGGGTCAATCAGCATTTTTTTTTTTTTGGTAAATTTTTAGAAGTTCATTTTATTTGAGAGAGTAGATAGAGGGAGAAGAGAGAGAAAGAGAGGGAGAGAGACTGTGCCCATTCATTGATTCACTTCCTGAATATCCAGGAGCAGGAATTCAATCCAGGTCTCCAGTGTGGGTGTCAGGCACCCAAGTGCTTGAGTCATCACTGGCTGCCTCCCAGGGTGTGCATGAGCAGAGTGCCCGCACTTTGAGTCCCAGCTCTGCTCCCAGTTCCAGCTTCCTGCTCATGTGCATCCTGTGAGGCATCAGGTCACAGCTCAAGGATTTGCGTCCCTGCCAACTCTGTGGGAGACCTGCATTGAGTTCTGGCCTGGTTACAGTGTGGCCCAGCCCCAGATGTAGTAGGCATTTGGGGAGTGAACTAGCAGATAGGAAATCTCTGTCTCTCAAGTAAATGAAGTATAATAAGAATGAATAAAAAAGCAAATCTCCATGAGCACTTACGTGTCCAACATGTATTCTTTTAACTTTACAGAAACCCCATGAAGCAGAGAGTGTTATTATCTCCAAAATGATAGTCCAGAAAGCTCCAGAGAGATTACCTTGTCTAAAGCCCTGTGGCTAATGGGCGAAGCTGGGATTTGAACTCAAGTTGTTTGTCTTCAACTGAACTCTTAGTCATTAACTTAAAATATACAAAAGACAGACTGAAACAAAAACATTTTCAAGTTTAATTTTCATTAATCACTGCAGACTATGACACAGCTATTTCTGATTCATTAATAGGCGGATAAGATATAAATGTGTTCTCTGTGGCCCTCCTGTAGTAGCTCTGATTTTCTCCAGATGTGACTGGGTTTTCTTTCCCTGATAATTCATTATTACTCATATTCCAGAACATCTCCTGACTTGTTCTTTCCATGGAGATGATGTTTCCTACCTAGAGCGGCAATAACACGCACTGGCTTGTTGTAGAAGCCCTGGCAGAGCCGCTGTGGCCTGGAGTAGAAGGTCTGCTACCATCTTGGCAGCATCGGCCTTCATTGTTGATTTGCTTCTTTGACTGGATAATGAAAGGCCTGCACTAAAGGGCGCATTTCCAGGGTCCACGGGTATAATATAGAGAGAGTGGCATGTCAGAGAGTCAAATTGCATATCAGATAGTTATCAACCATCAAATCTCTTCTGAGAAAAAATCCATACTAATTTTTAACAGCTGAGATGTCAAGAGATGATGCAGCAAAGTAAATCCTGTTGAATTTAATAGACTGATGATATATTATCCATTTTTTTGCTAATGAAAAGTTGAAGATGTCTATTCTTTATGAGAGTAAAGTCTGACCTCTCCATTATTCCTTGACAAAAGAAAGTTATTTGGAAAACCTAGGTGAATATCATTTATTTTTAAATAATAAAACTAGAGAGCAGACCCATTGAGTGTAGACACTTTGTATTCTCAATACACATGAAGAAATAATGTCTCACCCTTGGATTTGATAATGGAAATACATTGCATCAGCTCTACCATACTATGAGGTTGCTGAGATGGCTGAGTATGTGTGCCTGGAATTTACCTTGGAAACAGGACCATATAAATTTTATATCAAAACCAATCAGCTTGGCATGGGAAGACATGACTGAAGTTAATCCCAAATTTTGTTTGAATATTCACTTTTAGCTTAGTAATGCCTCCTTATGGGAGTAGGAAACCTGTCAATAGGTCTCTTAAATAAATACAAGTTTACATGATTCTTTATTGCTTTAACATTTAAAAGGTCCTCAAAAATGACAGTTCTTTTCCATCTTTTTTTTGGATTATGAAAGAACATAAATACTCCTGCCTTCTAAGGAAAGGGGCACATACACATTTATTCACTTTCAAGATTCTGCTTATATTATCTTCCAGTTTTTTCCAAAAATTTACTTAGGGCAGGGGAGTGTGAGCTCCGCCATCTGCTGGGTCACTCCTCAAATGCTTACGATGGCTAGGGCTGGTCCAAGGCTAAAGCTCATAGCTGGGATCTTAATCCTAACATCCCCCTCAGGTAGCAGGAATTCAATCATCTGCTCTTCCAGGGTCTGCATTAGCAGGAAAATACCGTCAGGTGTCAGACGCAGATATTATACCCAGGCATCCTGGTAGGGGATATGGGCCTCTCAGCTGCTAAATGCTTGCCCCTGTGTTATCATTGCCTGATGCTCTGTGCTTTCACGTAAAATGCACTATTTTGTGTTTTAATAATGATGAATCTAACACACAGCAAACATCAGAGATGTTCTAAAGCACAGAATTGAAAATGTCATGCTCCCATGAACTTCACTAGAATAAAGTAGAAATGAAGATGACTTCAAGAAGTGAGAAAGCTGTACTTGTTAAAATGTGTTCTGTTCCACAAATCATTGAAATGTTGAATTGACAGGCCCCATGTGAGGCTACAATTTTTATATCTAGACACATTTCACATAACTTCTTGTATACTATTAGCTAGCCAAAGAATTCTTATGGAGTTCAATGGAAGAGTCTCCAGTCTCAGTTTGCTTGTCTCTGCGCTTGTAATATCAGTTGACAAAGAAATTGTAATATAAATTTCAGCTTAAAAATACTTGGTTCTGCAATTTAAACCTTTGCCCTGTCTTTAGTACTCATATTTATTAAATACAGAAGAGAACTGGTAATTGTCCCCTGAAAAATAATCCCAAATACATTCATAATGAAATCCATTCATGTGTTAACATTATATCTGTAACTATCTACCATCAATCATCTCTATACATTTTCCTACATTGCACTGTTTCTTTAATCTTTAGAATTATATATAAACTTCTAATACTTTTTATAATTTGGATTGTTTTCTTTGGAGTCTACTTTTTATGTTCTACTCAAGCAAACGATTATTCTGATGATAATAATTACTATTGTGATGACTAAAGATGAATTTTATATAGCTGCCACTTTAGTATGTGACTTTGAGGAAGTTTCTTTACTTCTCTGAGTCTCTGTTTTCATGCCATTGTCTAAAGGCTGCTGTTACTATGAGAATTAAATGAGAGAATATAGCTCTCTCAGCTGCCTGATAGCTCTCATCCTCTTTCTGCACATAACTGTATCTGTTGCCCTTGTTTTTCCCAAAATTGTTCTCTTGAGTTTTAACTACATCTCTATTGTGTCTAGTTTCTTTATTTTCAATTTGTAAAACAAAAATCAATTTATAAAAGGAAAAAGTAGTAAAGACACCACCCAGAGAATGGCTGATGTCTCGATCATAATCCTGTAGGGACTCTGGACCAGACCAAGTGGACAGAATCTCAGTACCTGCCATGGAAATGTGTGGTTTGTGATGCCTGGAATTTAAATGACCATTTGTTTTCTTTTGTTACAAATTTTCTTACATAAAACTTTCATAAAACTCTCAGACTATGTTACTGAGCAAGTGTTAGCCATAACACATAATCTCTGATTCAGAATTCTTTCTTGCAGATCCAGTAAAGGCTGTGAGAAAATGCTGGACTGCCAAGAACAAGAAGGCTCCTAGCTTTGACTTGTTTCTTAACCATTAGTTGCATTGAAGCTTTTATGTTCTTACCTGACCTTTGAGGGAACTTGAATGGAGCTAAACAAATTTTGCCGTTTTTATGAGTACAAGTATGAATAGAGTTATGAATTCCTTACCTTTTCCATGAATAGAAGTGGTAATTTTTATGGCACTTACCTGCATGACTTTTGTTTCCCTGGAATTGTTTTGGAGCCTCTGAGTGGAGATCACCAACCCTTCCTCTCCACTCTTCACCATGCTTCACTTTAACCCAGCTTCTTCTCTCCAAAACCTGGGCCCAAGCCTCATTGTCCAGATTTAAGGAGGAGGAGGACTGTCAGCCAGCTGCTAGTTCTGATGCTCTGAAGGCATTGACTTTGTGGCATTCCTTAAGAGGAGACACAGGGGTTCAAGCACTTGAGAGACAACCCTTCCCTCCCCTCCCCTCACTTCCCTTCCAGATGGGTCTGATGGCTTTTACCTGTGCCACAGAACACTTTTCATCATGTCAGAGTAGAAAAAATGCCTTCTGTTTATTCCAGATGATCTCTTCTGTCATCCTGGAATGTCATCCCAACTTTCCAAATAAACAGTAAGTGATTGAAAGCAGTTAATTGGTAAAGTCTTTCTGCTCTGACCTTGTCCAGCCTGGCATCTAGTACCTTCTCCACCTGAAGTGCTGCTGAGTTCCCAGACACTTCCTTTCTGCCTGGAGGATGCAAGAAAGCTGTCAGCTAGGGACAAAAATACTAATAAAAACACACATGCAAGTCACTTTTTATGTTGTTGTTCTTAATGAACTATTAAGGGAATAGTTCAGCTTTTACAAAATGGTTAAGGAAATACAAATGTATTGTCAAACAATTTTATTTAACAATGTTACACTGTTAGCATTTTAATAAATACTCTGTAAAATGTATAACATATCAAGTAGAAGGACGGTTACAATTTTTCTTCTGCTTAAAATAATTTTTATTTTTGATGAAAAAGTGCAAATACATTTTACATGGCAAATCAATTTTTGTTTGTTTAAAAATATATTTGTTCTGTAAGATGAAAAAGTTCTGGAGATCTGTTTAACAACAATGTAAACATACTTAACACTACCGAACTGAAAAATAGTTAAGGTGATAAAGTTTATGACATGTATTTTTTAACAACAACAACAACAAAGAGAATCAGGAAAAATAAAATACTTTCCATTTTTCCCTTCTATAATCTTTACAAGTATCGTATGGATTCCTCTGCAGCTTAATGATGCAGCAAAAATTCCCATTTCATGATAGTTGAGTTTTAAGAGGCAAAGTTAAAATGCTTTGAGGGTCCTGAATACACTTTTGAGCTTTGAAAAGAGGTTATGATGATTATTCATTTAGTCCTCACATGCAAACAGAGGCACAGACTGTGCTCCGGCTTCCTGAGCAAGCTTCTATTCAGAAGCAAGAAGCAGCCGGGACAAGAGCAACACAGCGTCCTCAGGACCCAGCAGCTGGCTCCGCAGAGTCTGATTCCTCTCACCTCCAGCCTGGGCCCATGAACGCCTTGCTCTGGCAGCTGCAGGTCTTGGCCTGTGCTAGAAGAGGGAAGAGCACTAGGGATGGGATATTTAGGGATCTGTTCCCCTCAGGTATCATCAGGACTGCACCTTTCTTGGTTAAAACACAAAACATTTGATTACTTTGCAGTCCATCTGGAAAAACAAATTTAGGTTGTGAATATGGCAACAAACATCAGAAAGGATGATTTAAAACCCTGTATTTTATATACAACTGGAAAGACCAGAGCTGGACAATGACCTTGTAAAGACAGCTATGGCAGTCATATCTGTAAGCAGGTGATGTAGGGTGTTCTGTGTAGGATGGGGGGTGAAAATCTTGAGTGACCAGAAATGACATGAAGAGCCATATAACCACCATAGTAGCATGTGTGAAATAATATATTCTAAACATTCACTAACCTAATATCGCTAATCTCAAGCATTAAACTGGTGTAGCTATTTAATTTAGAAATAAGGTTTTAAAAATAATTTACCTATAAACCTCTTCCATATCCCTTTTTGACTTGAAAATTATTTCACCAACTCTTTGCCCCAATGTTGTTTATAATACATATTCACAAATTTCACCCCATTTCTGGTTACTAGCCTCAATTGCTTATGAGATAAACCTATGTTGTGAATTTCCACAAAAGCTGCAGACATTGGTAACACAATAAACAACCCATGACTCATCTACTGACTGACATTTTGAAAAGGAAGCTATTTTAAAGACCAGTGCAGGATTTGTTCCTGAGGAATGTGTAGGGAAGGAGTTGGAGGTAAGATAACTTCTTTGGATAGATCAGGTGATTAATACATATCAAATATTTACACCTGCTAAGCTTTATTACATGTTCCATGATATTTCTACTTCAAAATAGTCTTATTGTGGGATTATGTGGAATAAAGATGTAGGAAGTTTAATGCATAAGCCCATAGCCCTTAGCTTGAGCAAAAGATGCAGTTATGGTCTCCCAGCACCAAGACGGGAAAAGGAGCAACAACTTCCTTTCTTCCAAGCAGCTCATAATGCTTTAGCAAATACTTCGTGATTTTTAAACCAGTACTAGTGATATAAGAAAAGTGAGACAAAAAGTGGGGCTCTCCACTTCCAAGTGCTTAATCCGCTAACCCACATTGCATTTCAAAGTGATGGATACCTTGTTTTGGCACTGGAAGAAACAAGTTTAAAAATGTCTAAGGAGTTTTCCTTCCTAATATCACTTTAAGGATTTTTTGGGGGTCAAATTTTAGGGTTTACTCTAGTTTGAGAAGTATTTGAGAATTAGGAGTGATGACATATCCAGTTTTGGGGTATGAACCAGTAAATTTAAATTACAATCATGTTTAGTTTGGAGGAGAGTAGCTAGTAAGTGCCAAATTAGCCCAATACAGTGAGTTTGGCCATGCTAATTTGAAGAATTTGGTTCAAATTTCTACATTCAACCATTGAGTTACTCCAGTTCAATCCGGTCATATCAGACGGGAGCAAGGGTCTTCTGTACAGAGGATACTGCGGGACCCTCGTAGCTCTGTCGGAACAATGAGGCTGCCAGAAACAGCAGCCCTGGGACACACCACCCTTTCTGTCACTGTTACGCTCTGCGTGAGGAGTGGATCAGAGACAACAGAGGAAGGCTGCACGAGGGAACTAGAAGCCGAGTAGGTCTCCGTCACCAAATAGTTAGCGTGCTGCAGGGGGTCAGGGATGGAAATGGCCGGTTGCATAGACCCTGAAGCAGACAAAGTAAAGACTCCTTGACTGCCCGACAGAGTCTGGCCCCTCATCGTTCCTGCCTGCTGCGTGTCCGGGGCTGGCCCCCTGGATTCGCTCCTAGCCCCGCTGTCTTGAGAGGAGAGCCGAGCCCGTTGGGCCTCTTCATCCATGCCGAGGCTTATCTCTGCAAGTCTTTTAAATTTGGGGCCGAGCGAGTCCAAGAAGCTGTCATCCAGGTCATCGGCAATAAAGCTGCAACAGCCCAGGGAGCCCACGGGAGAACTGGGGACGGCCATGTCCTCCTCATTGTCATAGATCAACAAGCAGTCGTTCCCGTCATGGACATCCTCTTCCTCGGCACAGGCAAACGCTTTCTAAAGATGGAGGAAATGTGGGAATAAAGGAATTTTAAGGAAGAGTCAATTCAGCAACATATTACTGTTCATATAAATCCCCAAATTAGGAGGATCTCCAGAGAGATACAGGCGCGCTCTTCACACGAACAATCTTGCTCTAAAAATAATCCAGTGTTTGGCAGTGCTATGGTTGACAGACTCAAAATTGAGTCTAGGCATGTGTTTTCGTTTGTGATTCTAAGGCACTTATTTGGATTTAGGTCTACAGAGCAAATGGGTGTGGTGCCTGGAGGTTTTCCACTGGACTGGGCGTGGGAAACTCTGTGTATGCCTGTGTTAATGCATGTCATTGTGTCTGGGCTGGTGGGAAGATACCTCTCACTGTGTACTGTGTGAATGAGGTCTTGTGTGGACACTACAATCCTGTGGGAGCCTGACCTGTAATAACTAGGGCCCACAGCACACCGTGAACTATCCCAAGAGTCTTCATCCCAAACACGTCTCCATTGTCAGTCTACTCAAACTCAATGTCAACCTTCAGCTGCTGGGACATCATGTCGACCTGGCATGTAACAGTTCCCACACCAAAACTCTATGTGAGAGCCATTCTAACCATGCCTCTCATCGCACTACTTGTTGGTCACCAAACAAGAGGCAAGCAACCTGCCTCCTGAAGTCTTCTGTGTTCTGGTTCCCTTGTCCCATTCCTGCCCCATGCTTCCTGTCACACATTCCTCCAATCATTGGTCTTCAATCCCAACCCTTCTTTCTCATTTGTTTTTGGGCCACTAATTCAGGGGTTCTTCAACTTTTTTTTTTTATTTGGCAGGTAGAGTTATAGACAGTGTGAGAGAGAGACAGAGAGAAAGGTCTTCCTTCCGTTGGTTCATTCCCCAAATGGCCGCTCACCAATCCGAAGCCAGGAGCCAGGTGCTTCTTCCTGGTCTCCCATGGGGGTGCAGAAGCCCAAGCACCTGGGCCATCCTCCACTGCCTTCCCGGGCCACAGCAGAGAGCTAGACTGGAAGAGGAGCGACTGGGACTAGAACCTGGCGCCCATATGGGATGCCAGTGCTGCAGGCAGAAGATTAACTAAGTGAGTCACGGTGCTGGCCCCCTTCAATTGTTTTAGACATGGACTGCTTTGAAAAATATATACACATGTGTTTCGACATCATTTATGGTTTAGGAAATACCAGAGTCTGCTTCGTGTTTTTAAAGGGATGCTGCTGACCCCCAAATACAAAGGATTTTTCTCTCAGTTGCTTTTGCAGTTGGGGGCATGGGGTGTCGCTACCTTATTCTCTCAATTTGTGGCTATCTCTGTGTTCTCTTTTTTGACCAGTGACCCAATTTTGAGAGCCACCTTAGGTTATCCATATTATTTTGGCAAAAGGAAATCTTTCTTTTCTTACATTTTAACAAGCCATAAAAATGTGAACTGCAAAACTGAAGTACATAATCAAATAAAAAATCTGATGTGAAAACAAAGTCAAAAGGTTTTTCCACCAAATTACCTGAGAAAAGTAGGAATCTAGGAAGTTCATGTTGATTGCCCCGTCAGCATAGTCCTTGCTGGTTCCGCCAGTGGAATGTCTTGTTCTCATTGTCCCAGACTGCCCAGTGGAACCAAGTCCGGCTGCTGCTCCAAAGCCTGCCGTGGCTCCAGATCCGGCAGCTGCTCCCAGCCTGGTGGTCAGTTCCATCCCCGAAGCTCCTTCCACCACTGTCCCACCAGCATACATATTTGTACAGACTTCTAAAAACAGGGGAGGAAATTTTGTAACGTGTCGTGTTGTGCTTTCTTGTTGCTGCTGCTGCTGTTTTTACTGGACTTTTACCTGTGCTATTGCCATGTAAATCAATTAAGTGGGAGAAAATACAACTGTGTGACAAGTGTACAAAGGAAATAGATTTTCAGTGACAACAATGGAAATGGTAAGGAAAACAGAATATGCAGTAACAGCTATGGAAAGATTTTTTTTTTTTTTGACAGACAGAGTGGACAGTGAGAGAGAGAGACAGAGAGAAAGGTCTTCCTTTTGCCGTTGGGTCACCCTCCAATGGCTGCCACGGCTGGTGCGCTGCGGCCGGCGCACCGTGCTGATCCGAAGGCAGGAGCCAGGTGCTTCTCCTGGTCTCCCATGGGGTGCAGGGCCCAAGTACTTGGGCCATCCTCCACTGTACTCCCTGGCCACAGCAGAGAGCTGGCCTGGAAGAGGGGCAACCGGGACAGAATCCGGCGCCCCGACTGGGACTAGAACCCGGTGTGCCGGCGCTGCTAGGTGGAGGATTAGCCTAGTGAGCCGCGGCGCCAGCCTGGAAAGATTCTAATGCAGTGCTTGCTTGTTTTCATGAAAGAGAGAAATTGTAACTAAGCACTCATATTGGCTCAGTACAAGAACCAATGAGGAAGCATACAAAATGTAATCGTGCAAATTAGGAGAGGCGCGTTTGATGTCTTGGTACCTAGCGAAAATTTAAGGAATTATGACTGTTCTTCCTGTGACCTTCACATTATGCTCGCGTGGAAAGTTATCTGTTTTGGAGAATTCTGACAAGAGTTTTTGCTCTGTAATTATAATGGGAGAGGCAAACAATGACTGGAATGGCTGATGAGGACAGACAGTGATTTACATATGCAGATTTTTCAGGTTGCAAACTTAAAGACCATCTATTTCTTAATTCTATGGAATTAAGAAAATATTATATTAGATATCAAGTTCTTTTTATTTCTTGAGTTTAAGGCAAAGTTGTGGCATTAGGATAATATGAATGAAATAATCTCTTGGTAAAATGAAAGAAAGACATTCCCTTATATGATAACATAAGCTATCATGTTCCATTATGATTGAGTATAAGCTTTAGTAGTTGTACTTAAGTCAGGCCATTGGTCCTGGCAAGGAAGAGGATTGAGGATGTGCATTTGTGGAAATTTAACTGCAAATATGATCAATGTTAAGAACAGACACAACTGAACTGTGGAGATACAGAGGTGGTTATGTTTTCCTTCATGTGAAATCTTTCCTAATTAAAAATTGGTAACTAATTGCCTGAGAGCTATATTTCAATTTGTTAAAATCTGGAAAAAGTACAAATCTGCAGATATTAAAAATGGTGCCTTTAGTGGACAAATTAGCTTACTGAAGCCAGATGTGTGACTGAGACATGAATATCACAGACCAGCTTTTCTCCATTTCAGTGGTAATGGTTCCGACATGCATGCATATGCAAATAACTAAGAAAACAATTTTGAACATGTTCCATTTAAACAACCATATCTTTAAAGAAAAAAATTATATTCACTTACCAGAACTTTCCATGAATTCAGCTCCATTGCCTGCTATAGGTGGCACACGAATATTTGTGATTTCCTGGAAACCATATTAAAAAATAAATACATTTTAAAGTGAATCAGATGTTAGAGAAACATAGGTGAAATGTGGCTCTTTGCAAATGTTAATTTTATAAGAATCCAAAATTCTTGCAAGAGTAATCATTTTTATGATTTGATATCTGAGGAACTAAAATTGTAGAAGTTTCCTATTTAGCAAGGACTCTCAAATTGAGGATTAAGAGTTTTATTTTTAATGCCTCTGTCCCCCCTTTCCTATCTCATTACAAATCAATTTTTTTCTCATTGCCAGTGGGATAACGTTTTCCCAAGATGGACCCTCACCTTGTCTTCAGGATGGGCTCCTTCGATTCCCCACGGATGAATGGTTCCTTCTGAACCATCTGGGACTGGGATAAAACCTCCGGTCCCTCCCCCAATAGGACTGGTCCCACAGTCACAGGTCAGCAGCAGAAGTGGGGCCACTAGTGAAAACCAGAACAGAAAATCAGAATACTTGAGTCACTTAGATATTATTTGACATGCCGACGATCAGAAATGTTACAAACAAAATACAGCACTTTTAATTCAGCTCCCTGCTAATGTGCCTGGGAAGGCAGCAGAGGATGGCCCAAGTTCTTGGGCCCCTCTTACCCATGTATGAGACCTGGATGGACTTCCAGGCTTCTGGCTTTGGCCTGGCTACACCCTGGGCATTGCAGCCTTTTGTGAAATGAACCAGTGGATGGAAGATTGCTCTGTGTGTGTGTGTGTGTGTGTGTGTCTTGCTGTCACTCTGCCTTTCAAATAAATAAAATAAATCTTTGAAAAAGGAAAATTAAGCACTGTAAATATAGAAAATTCCTAGTGAAATGCAAAATTAGTCTCTAGAAAATAAAATTCAGTAATTAAGCACATTAAAATTTGATGTGGGGGCTTGCGCTGTGACATAGCAGGTTGGTCAATTGCCTGCAGTGCCGGCATCCCATATGGACGCCGTTCAAGTCCCAGCTGCTTCACTTCTGATTCAGCTCTCTGCTATGGCCTGGGAAAGCAGTAGAAGATGGCCCAAGTCCTTGGGCCCCTGCACCCACATGGGAGATCTGAAAGAGACTCCTGGCTCCTGGCTTCGGATTGGCCCAGCTCTGGCTGTTGCAGCCAATTGGGGAGTAAACCAGTGGATGGAAGACTCTCTCTCTCTCTTCCTCTCCTTCTCTCTCTGTGTAACTCTGACCTTCAAATAAATAAATAAATCTTTAAAAAAATTTCATGTGGTTATGAAACTGAAAGATCAGATTTCTCATTGTATGCATATTATTGTCTTAGAATAGGCACTGTTATTAGTTCAATGCTAATGGTGACTATTTTTCAATCCTTTTTTATAATTGTAGACTTTATTTGTGTATGTAGAGGCTGTAGATATTCTGTCAGATAAACATACAGATGTCTATATGAGAATACTTTAAAAAAACTTGTGGAAAAGTGGATGTTTATTTTGGTGAAAAAATTTTTGAAATCCATACATAGTTTTTATAATATGCACTTTCCTGGAACTTTTTGAAGACCCCTTATATACAGGGTTTTCAAAATATTTTTAAATTTTTATTTATTTATTATTTGAGAAGTAGAGAGAGGAGACACAGACAACTCTTGCCACTCTCTCACTCACCAGATGTCCTGAGTTGGCCCGGACTGGATCAGCCTGAAGAAGGGAGCTGGGAACTCAATTCAGCTCTCCCACGCAGATGGCAGGAACTACCTGAGCCACCAGCTGCTACATGCCAGGTTCACATTAGCAGGAAGGTGAAATTGGGAGTGAAGTCAGGACTTGACCTCAGGCATCCCACCCAGCGTCTGAGTCCCCAAGCCAAACACAACTCAGATTTCAAAATTTGGCATGCCAAAATTCCATTTTCAAGGAACTTTCTGAAGTGCCCTAACATAACTGTATGGTCAAGATTTTAGGTGTGCATGGTAATGTTTTAGATATACAGTCTTAATAATTTCTTAGTAAACAGCAATTAACCAGAAAACTCCTTTAGCAATTAGGGAGATGCCCTAATAAATGCCTGTTGATACACTCTTAATTGTGATTTAAGAATCGCTTATCTATGACTTGAGCTTGGAGGTACCTTTCTGACAGTGTAAATACAGTTCTCCATTTGCATATAATTGATAATAAAGGTTAATGTCATTCTCATGCTAATGACAAGAGAGAGACTTCTCAAAAGTGGGTGTTTCCCACACTCTGTTGTCAAGGACCCCACAGGCACCTCTGGCCTGCAAAGGCCACTCCAATTCTGATGTTTGAACTCTGTCCTCATACAGATAGCTTAGGGAGAGATGGGGTGGGAGGATGGGGGGTGTGAAGAGCACAGCCAGACTTCTAGGGTTTGAATTTTGGCTCCACCATTCACCAGCTATTTGACATTGGGCATATTATAAAATCTTTCTCTGTTCAGTTAACTCATCCATTAAATGGGGGAATAAGTAGCAACTACATTATAGGTGTTGTGAGGATTAATTGATTAATATACTTAAAGGACATGGGTCCAAGTTCATGTCCCAACCAATCCACTTCCAATCCAGCTCCCTGCTAATGGTCTGGGAAAAACAGCAGGGGAAGGACCAAGTGCTTTGGCCCTTGCTGCTCATGTGGGAGATCTGGAAGAATCTCCTGGCTCGTAGTTTCGGCTTGGCCAGGGCTGATCATTGCCACTATCTGGGGAGTGAACCAGAAGAAGGAAGATCTCAATCTGTCTCTCCCTCTCTCTCTGTTAACTCTGACTTTCAAATAAATAAACAAATCTTAAAAAAGAAAAAAAAGAACAGTGGTGAACATTATGAGTATTTGACAGTCTTTTTAGGATGGGCAATATTATGCAAATTAGGCTAGGCCTTTTTATATATGGTATGAATAGTTGACCAAGTATATAAAATAGGTTGGCCATACTGATATACTTTCTCAACAATTTAATTTAATGCTCACATAAATCATACTTCTAAAGGCATTCTCGATTGCATTTTCAATTCTATGGCTTTGTTAAATATTTGGGCGAGATTAAACATTGTGAGTTAACAAAGCAATTTGGAAAGGTAGTGAATGTAAACCTGGGTGATCAGTTGTTTTAGATGAACACACTAATCCTTCAGAAATATTACCTATTATTATATGTGTCATGCACATTTAGATTTCACATGTGTATCCAGAGAAAGTTTTCAAAATGCTGAGTCTATTTCTACAGTCTGAAAAACATATCCTCTCATTCACAAAATTTAAAACATTGCATTTGCAAATGGCAAGATGACATAAAACAGATATTTTTGTGGGGATAGTATCTTTCTCTGATAGCCTTTGGCAACTTCCTTTTTCACACTTACAGAACAGCACAGCAAGTGCACATCAGTCCTTTTGAATTAGTCCCAGTGCACTATTCAGTGTCATCTTGCCTTCTCCACAGTTTCCCCAGCTTGCCAGCTTTTGTTGGCTTTTATTCACACGGTTACTCTTTGGCAACTTTCCTTTCATTTTGCACTTCTTTTATCTTATTCAATCTCCAAGGGCTAATTGGATGATTCCCCTATCCCATGGAGCTTCTGCAATACCCCATGTGTAGTAACTTCTTTTTCCCATGCACTTAGACATGTATAAGTGCGTACACTGTGTAAAATTCAGTCAAGTTGGAAGCAGGCATAGCAACTCACATAGGTCCTTGAAGAATCCTCGTTGGTGAACTTGACTAATATGATGGTAAAAATTGAAACTCTGTGAATGTGAATTTCAACAATTAAGCTAAAGGATGCATGATAACTTCATAATAGTAAAAGCTCCTGGAGACAGATGAAGGGGAAAATATGGGGTGCATGTGTGTGGGGGGCATAAACTGCATCTATAGAAGTTTCTTTTTCTTTCAAGAGACCTTAGTGAATATTACAAGACGTTAATATATATTATGTCTGAATGATGGTGATATGTGTGATTATTATATAACTTTCTGTACTATTTTGTGTTATAAATATATTTCATACATTAAATGAAATTTGAATGAAGTTGTGGAAGTCGAATTCATCATCATGAAAATTCACTTTAACACTAAAGGCTGTAATTCTATAATAAATTGGGGAAATAGCTGTGAATTTACTAAAGGTTCCTCTTGTTTGAGAATTTGACAGAAAGTTCTTTTAAATACAGACTTTTTTATATTAAGATACTATTTGATTCTTCATATTTTTGTTCAAATATTAATTATTTATTTTAATTAATTTTAGTTATAAATTTTTATTCATTGACAATAACAAATTTTATTTTTACTGAAAAATAATACATGTGCATTATTTTCCTAGATGTGTTTAATAAACTGAATCATGTTAAGTCTGCAAGTTTTAAAGGGAATGAGTATTTGAGTGGTAAGCTATTATGAGGAAATGTTGGATGAAACAAAAACTTCTCAGAGCCTATGCTGTGTTAACCTGCATTGTAAAACTCAAAACTTACGATATTTTATATATTTGCCTTAAGTTTGTTTGACAATGGTTCTCTCTCTTTTTTTTATATTAGAATCTCATGAGTTTTGAACATGAAAAAAGGCATCTTAGAAAGTGCTGCACTCCCAGATAAAGCCATAATTTTGACCACAACCATAACTAGCAGTATTCGGGGAGTTTTCATGATTATTTTTAATACCTCTTGATTCTCTTGTGCTATTTTCAAAATGTCTGACACATATGATTTACTTCGCTATATTATAATCATAGATTGTTGGCAAAAAAAATTAAATATTCGATTCTTCCAGAAAATGCCATTCCCTGGATTTGCCTGTGAACAATTAGAGAATGGTTCTTCCTGCTTTGAGCAGTGAGCACAGGCAGTAGGCTGGCCCATGCAAATGAGGACGGTCAACACAGAAGGAGCCACCGGCATACTCACACAGCAACAGCAACAGGCCCAGGAGGAGCAGGCCTATAGCAGCAGGTCCCAGCCTCCAGGAAGCAGGATTTCTGTAGATTGTGGGGTCTCTGACTGGTCCAGAAGTCCCACAGATGCCCCTGTCGTCACACTGACAGACTTCCAGGGTCAGGCTCTCCGGCGTCTCGCACTGCCTGTCCTCTCGGTCGGTAAGCACGAGGGGGAGTCTGTACACTCCGGGAGACACCTGCTGCTGGGCTCTGAGCTGTGCGGAAGTAGCTGTAGAGAAACAATCACACAAATCAACAGCGGCATGAGATGTCTCTGATTCTTAAAATGACGGATTTTCGTCAGCCCAGCTGGAGTTAGAGAGCACTGTTGCACATAGTGGGGCTGATGCGATTAGAGCAGTGATGGGCGCCGTAAGGGGTTCAACTGGGTAAATCTTTCTACACCTGCTTTCTTTCCTCTCTGACCCAGATGGGCCCATTCTCCTCCTCCATGAAGGTTCAGTCCTACCTTACTTTTCCCACCAAAGAGGATGGAAGTGGGTGGGCATCATTTAAATATCAGGGTCCCTTCTCCTGGGGCTTACCTACTCCCCTGTGCATCTGCACCAGTCCGACTCACATGGCCCTGTGAGAGTTTGCTGTCCCCAAGCTCTGTGTTCCTGTGTCTGACTTATCCAGACTGACTTCCAGCTTTTGCTGCTGCCCCCTCCACTGCTCCTCTCTATTTTCATCCCATGGAATGAAGGTCCGTTGAGGTGATGGGCCTCTTCCCTGAGCATCGATTGTTCTCTGTCTCTGTTGCTATGTTGCTCCTTTCTCAGTGGCATCCCATAGCAGCCTTGTGCCATTTGAATCATCCTTGCCCCTGCCATGCCCTTTGACGCTGTGTCTTGTCCACCCAGCCCAGCCTCTGTTGTCTTGCCCAGCCTTGTCCGAGCAGCTGTGTCTGGAGCCACATCCTTGCTCTCTCTGATCTAGCCTTAGTAGCCTCTTCAATGGCCATGCATTTGGTAAAATCCTTCAGAGCCAAAGGCTGTGTGCAGAATTTGGAGCTGGATCCTTTCATCTGGACCTGAAAAGCCTTATGGCCAAATGCCAAAGACAGAGAAACCCCTTCAGTGGCTGATATACATGACTAGAAGGGAATTCATGAAAGGAAACAAGATTGGTTCAGAAAAGAGCTCAGGAAAAGGGGCGAGTTTACCAAGGACTTGAAGTAGCTTGATGGACATCATAAAACCCAGAAAGGGAGAAGATTTTTATAAAATCTAATAGTTCTTTCTATGAGGCTTCTTCTATGAGGCTTGTGGAAAACCCAGAAAAGGTAGAATGAGCAGAAAAAAGGTTAGGAGGAAAGTAGAATGGATTAATTCTTCTCTATGGGCTAGAAGAGTTATGAGTTCCGGTCCACTGTGCCCTCAGAGCTGCTGAACAGTAGCAGGTGGCCACTTCCTATGAGCAGAGTGCAGGCCAACTCCTCCAGTGCTCCAAGTCTGCTCCCAGGCCACTCCTCTGTGATATAATAGATGCCTGACTTGAATATTGTTTTTTGAAGGATGCACTATGGAGCCAGAAATACACATACTAAAAAGACAAAAATACTAAATGAAAAACAGAAAATATACTACATCATATTTCTTTTCTCTTCAGAAGAGAGAAGGAATTCACAAAGCTCACATCTCCAGTGCAAAGAATGTTTTCAATTATTAATTGAAAGGAATTGTTATCAAATGACCTCTTTTTAAAAAAAAATTATTTGAAAGGCATGGGGTGGGGGGGGCGGGTGAGAGGGAGAGACCGAGAACGAGAGCGAGAGTGAGAGTGAGTCCTGATATCTTCCATCTGCTGGTTCACTTCCCAAATGGCCACAACAGTCAGGAGTCTCTTTCAGGTCTCCCATGTGGGTGCAGGAGCCCAAGTACTTAGATCATTTTCCACTGCTTTCCCAGGCCATAGCAGAGAGCTGGATCAGAAGTGGAGCAGTCGACACTCAAACCAGTGCCCATATGGGCTGCTGGCACTATGGCCACTAGTCTAACCTGCTATGCCACAGTGCCAGCCCCTCAAATGACCTCTTCTTAAAAAATTTTAATTTATTTGAAAGGCATTGGGGGTAGGGGAAGAGAAAGAGAGAAGGAGAGAGAGAGTGAGAGAGAGGGAGAGAGAGAATGAGTGTGAACCCTGATATCTCCCATCTACTGGTTCACTTCCTGCAACTGGGCCAGGATGATATCAGGAACCTGGAACTCAATCCAAGTCTCCATTGTGGATGGGAGGAATCCAAGAACTTGAGCCATCAGCTGCTGTCTCACAAGGTGTACATTACCTGGATATTGGTAGTGGAGGCTGGACTTGAACTCAGGCACTTCTACTTGGAATGCATGCATCCCCAGCGGTGGCTTAACCACTGTGCCAAATGCCTGGCCCTCAAAGGAGCTATCCTATCCCACTGGGAATATAAAGAGGCAGCAACTTTGATTGGTGGGAACAACTGTACTAATAACTCACCGTTGAGTGTTGTGATGCGCCACATAACGGGTAACTTTACAGGTTGGTCCTCCAGTGAGAATGTGTAGGGGCCAGCATATTTATCCCTGTCCAGTGTTCCCGCTGAGACAATCACGGAAGGTGAGGAACTACAAACTCTTTCTTTTTCAAGGACAACTGCTGGGCAATTTTCATTAAAACCTGGTACTTCAACAAATATGGTGCCTGTACAAGTTTTACCTGTGTTTTCTGTAAGAATAACATTTTGGGGTTAAAGAGATACATAGAACAAAGTTCATTGAAAAAGACAATTTTTTATATGGCTCTGTCATGCCACCCAGTCAGTGCATCTTCTCATGAGAAAATTGTACTTGTTACTCTCAGAAACAAAAAGGTACCATCCTGTTTCTGCATACTGTAAAAATAAAATGTGATCAAATTGGCTAGTAATTCTAGCAGTATTTTTTTATTGCATGGGCTGTTATTTTGAAATTAAGATCTGTAAGGTGATTAATTCATTGATTATAAATGAAATCAATTCATTTAAGAAAGCTTTTATTTTTATGCTGACTGGCAATCAACGAATGAATAATTTTTGCTTCTAAAGCTTGAGTCAAAGTATTCAGAGTAAACGATTACTTATTTTTATTTCTGAAGATATAAAAGTTAATTGAAAAAATCAAAAATGCTGACAATCAAACACACTAAAACAAAATAAAACAAAAAAGGCACCTCTGTGGGGGATTGAATTTTTCAGTGGTTTTTGTTGTTTTCTCAAATGGTAATATTTTGGTGTTGATTATTTTGGTTCCTTTTTGGTATTTGTCTACTTGTCTTGAGCATAAATTAATTTTATACTTGAGGAAGAAACATACTGAATGAACATTATTTTATAACCCTCCAGATGAGGAAAATGTCTTGTTCAAGGAGAAAATAAAATGAAATCTCTATAGGTAGTCACGAAGGCAGCTTACATTTGAGCTGAGCTTCCCTGTTGGGCTTGCTCTACCGATCTATAGCTACCTCTCAAAGCCAGGAATTGTTATGGGTCAAAAGAAGTTCCTGCCTCAGCCACAGCAAATCAGAGAGATTGAACACAGAGTGCGCTGCTATTGCAAACTCATCTGAGAAGCTGGAGTTCTGTCTTCTCTCTTGGGTTCACCTGCCTTAGACTTGAGATCCAAAGTACCAAAGATAATTATCTTCAGCTTGTGACAAAGTTCATATGTTAAATAATCATGATTATCTGTTCAGAAGGGAATGTCGGTTAGAATAACACTTTATTTTTCTTACCATCTATGGCCAGAACCTCAGCAGTGATTGTCTTGTTTACTATGAAAGTCGAATCCCGATCAATGTTTTTGACAAATCTGATTTGAGCAGTTTTTGAATCAACAACTAGCAAACCACCATCATTACGACCCATAGCATATCTGTTTCACAAGAGAAAAATAATTTTTTTCAAATATGGAATATTACTTATTGAATTAAAATGACCCATTCTATCTTTAATGCATTTAAACGTAATGTAAAACCTAGAAACATGGAGTTATTAAAAGTAACAGAAAGCATAACGTTGATAAGCAGTATTTCATAATCTTTAAGTATGTATTAGCTTGATTATTCAATTTTCTGCTCTGTGCAATAAAATATTTGTATCCTTTCTCTTTTTGATATAGCAATGATTTGCACAGTGCTATTATATTTTAGGTGTGTTTGTCTTTGTATGTGCTGTTTTGTCTGAACAAAACATGGTCTTTTGGTGAACTTCTACCCTTTTGTTAGACGCAGCTGGAAGTTTTCGTGAATATTTTTCTTGATCTCCCTTGCAGGGGTGGGGAACATCTGGCCCATGGGCCATATAAGGCCCACAAAATCATTTGGTTTGGCCCTGCCAGGGCAACTGCAGGTGAGGCTCGATATTCAATAAATCTATAGTAGGCTAATTTTTAAGTTAATGATTTTGTATGATCTGCAAAATATGTCATAAATAACCAAATTATCCTGGGCAGAAAAAATGGTTCTACAGTCCTGTGAAGCTAAGGTATTCTTTTGTTGGTTTCTAGCTTTGACCAATGCTTTGGTTATGTTTGCTCACAGCACAGTGTATTCTAATGATTTGGCTATGTTGGGTCCTTCTCTTTGTCACCTTTGTATTTCTATTCTTAGCACATACTCGTCCGTGCCTGATGTTATAATCATTTATAGATTAAAAATATATCAAGGGATAAGATGTTACCTCAAGAGTCTTACCTGACGGATGTGGCAGCTTTGCAAGTGTCTTCATCAATGGCTTCATATGTCCCCAGGACATAATTGACCAATTTTTTATTACTGATGCCTTTTTGCACAGTAAATGTCTTGGAAGTAGGACGGAATGCGATTCCTTCTTTTACATTTATTACATGAACTGTGACTGGGACTTGCTGAACTCGATATTGAGAGATTACTGATTGGTGAAATTCAGCTTTGTTTCTGACACCAATACTAAATTGCATGTTTTGTATTTGTTCATAATCTAGAGCCTAGAGTTAAAAATAAAATCAGACATAAGGAAGTGTTTCAAAAATACAACCTGGCAAATCCAGTAGAGGATGAGAGAATTGTATGCCAAGTGTTATGAATGGATTTGCTGATTTCTACACAGCAAAATGGTTTCAGAAATCAGTGTGATATTGATAGACAAAGCTATTGGATTCTTGTGACATGTAAGTTTGGTAACTGATATGTACTTACAAAGCAAGGTATGTGCTTTTAAAAATAGCAAATCATTATAGTTTCTTTAGGCTGTGAGGGGCAATGGAAAGAATCCCAATTTGTTATGGTAACATAGCTCAAATCCTGCTTGCATTGCTGAATTGCTGCATGACTCAGGCAACAATGTTCAGTTTCTCTGAACCTCAAGTTTTCATGCTGAAAATCTTCCCTTATTGGGTTGTTGTGAGGACTGAACTATCATGTAAGCTATTCCTGTGTCTGGCAGCCATGCTCATTCATGTCATATTCCTTGGACTCATGTGAAAAATCTTTCCCAACTCTTAAGATTCTCAGGTAGAAAGGCAAACTATGTTAATAACCTTGGGGGCAAAAAGACCCCTGCAAAGCAATGGGTGGGTGGTTCACCAGGTTCTCATGGAGTTATTTTCAGGTGGTCCTGGGTAGTAACTGTTTGCCTGACTCTTCCATTGAGGTGGCCCAAATCAAGGCCTGGGGAATCCCAGGGTAGCTCTTCTCACCCACTAGTCATTTAGGGATAAGGAAATGCTCATTTTGATTACATTTGCTTATTACTGAAAATAATTAAGGTAAGAGACATAGACTTGAGTGGTAACTTTGCAGACTGGTTTCATGTGCTCAAGCATTTCCCAATGCAGAGGTAGATGAAGATATGTAAACAAGTATGTCAATATAAGGGTTACTTGATAGACAAAGAAGATGATAGACTCTCCAGTGAAAGCAAGGTGAAGTTCTACTTGGAAGACTTAGGAAAGACTTCTGGGAGGTTTTCAGCTGAGCTGAGTGTTGCAGATACCCAGAGGTGTAACAGATGGTAGGGGGCTAACTGCAGGTAGTCAATGCTCTAGAACACAAATGTGAGGAGGGTCAATTAAACTAGTAAGTGGTTATCAACTTTGGCTGCATACTTGAGTCAACTGAGGAGCCTTTAAGATCCACTGCTGCCTGGGCTTCTACACAGATCCACTGAGTAAACAGTTCCTACATTCTCATTGTCTAGGAAAAGTTGCAAGTTATTCGAAAAGGCAGTCAAGGTTAAGGATCACTTTCTCAGTGAATGAAGAGCCAGGGAGCATTTTTTTTTTTTTGACAGGCAGAGTTAGACAGTGAGAGAGAGAGAGAGAGAGAGAGAAAGGTCTTCCTTCCGTTGGTTCACCCCCCAAGTGGCCACTACAGCCGGCGCACTGCGCCGATCCGAAGCCAGAAGCCAGGTGTCTCTCCTGGTCTCCCATGTGGGTGCAGGGCCCAAGCACTTGGGCCATCCTCCACTGCCTTCCTGGGCCACAGCAGAGAGCTGGACTGGAAGAGGAGCAACCGGGACAGAACTGGCACCCCAACCGGGACTAGAACCCAGAGTGCCGGCACCACAGGCGGAGGATTGGTCTAGTGAGCCACGGTGCTGGCCAAGCCAGGGAGCATTTAAAAGAGGAGAAAGAATGAGTGATCCAAATGATCTCTTAAGAAAAATATGGGGGCCAGTGCTGTGGCGTAACGGTTAAAGCCACCGCAGTGCAGGCATCCCATATGGCTGCTGGTTCGAGTCCCAGTTGCTCCACTTCCGATATAGCTCTCTGCTATGGCCTGAGAAAGCAGTGGAAGATGGCCCAAGTCCTTGGGCCCCTGCAGCTGCATGGGAGACCCAGAAGAACTCCTGGCTCCTGGCTTTGGATCGGCGCAGCTTCAGCTGTTGTGGCCATCTAGGGAGTGAACCAGCAGATGGAAGACCTCTCTCTCTCTCTCTTTCTCTCTCTCTGCCTCTGCCTCTCTGTAACTCTGCCTTTCAAATAAATAAATAAATTCTTTTTTTTTTTTTTTTAAAAAGGTAACTTCTAGAGCAGAACTTTGTGGCTGGCTGTATGTTGTCTGGAAATGCTGTAATTCAAGAATAAGACCCAGGTTTCTGGTTTGGGAGACTGAATGACACCAAGACAGAAGGAAAACATCTCATGCCAAGGCATTGCTGGGAGATCAGAACAAAATTTTGCAAGTGGAGGTGTTTTTGTACCATCCCCTTGAGAAGCAGAGTAATATGGTTTTCACAGCTTTCAGAAGTTTCCTTTTAAGGGAATGCTATGGGTTTGTGCTTACATAGGACTCAAAGAGTTAAAGAAAGCAGCTCCTATATAGCCTGAAGTCGCATATCAAGGAATGTTTCCAAATAGTGATTACTTCTAGTCCATGCCATATCCAAATAGAACTATCCTTACATAATTCCAGATAGAAATCAGTCATAGCAAAGCATGTTAAATGGAAGAAGCTTTGCTAATTTTTTAAAATTTTCTTGAAGATTTTGTGTAATCCTCTTTCTTAGGAAAAGTTGCAATAATTTTTCTCTGATGATTGTAGCTAATGCATTGAAAACAGATTGATGTATTCACAAGCTGTAATTCCATCTATTTTTACCTTTTCCTAATTTCAATCCAACAGTAGACAATGAATTAAATTAAGTCGAGAACTTTATCTTGCTTTCTTGTGTTTAAAATGCATCTACCCATAAACACATATGTATCAGTGTCTTTGTATTTAGAGAAAATACAATAGCCTGGGAGGGAACACAAGGGGTCTTCAAAAAGTTCATGGAAAACACAGATCATGAAAAAACTGTGTAGGTTTCAAAGTGCCAAACAAACTTGTCTTCTAATTGCACTTACTCATAAACTTTGGAGTACCCTCAAAAACCAACATGTTGAGAGATGTTGTGTTTAGGTAATAGGGTTATGTGATGATTTAAAAAATATATACATTTAGGTGTTTTTAAAGTTTTCAATTGTTAGTTTTCTATTATGATGCAATGAATAAAGTTAATTGTAGAAGCGATAGCTTTATTAACTATTTTTACCAATAAAGGGAAATCAGATCTTACCTTCACCACCTTCAAGATGCCTTCATTAGTTCTGGGATCAGTTTCTATTTCAAACCAATTCCCTTCATTTCCAGAGGTAAAAAAATAGACAGCAAGCCAATTATCTGTGAACTCTTCATCCCAGTCTGTTACATGAAATCGAATCAACTCAGAGCTTAGAGTGTTTTCCTGAATACTTGCTGAATACTGAAAGAGAGACAGCATATAAGACTCAATGGCAGGGTTTATAAGTGGTATTAATCATTACTTATCCAGATTATGTGTTGCTTTCTTGCTAGTCACTGAATTAATATATTTTATTTTATATTTAAAGTGTTTTATTTATTTTAATTTTATCTGAAAGGCAAAGAGATGAGAGAGAGGAGAGAAGGAAGAAAGCAACAAAAAAGGGAGAAATCCTCCATCTGCTGCTTCACTCTCCAAACGCCTGCAACAGCCAGGGCTGGACCAAGCTGAAGCCGGAGGTCAGGAACTCAATGAGCATTTCCCATGTGGATAGTAGTAACCCAAGTACTTGGGCCATAATCTGCTGCCTCCCAGGGTGTACATTAGCAAGACACTAGATAGGAGGCAGAATAGTTGGGACATATGATATGGGATGTTGACACTGCCATGGGATACAGGTGTCCCAAGTGGTGTCTTTAGCTGCTGCACTAAATGCCTACTGCAGAATTCTTGTAGTTTATGAACGGTTATTTTAAAAGAAAGGTATAGAAAACTAAAGGCAGTAAGCTGGCAAATATTGAATCAGGATGGCAAAATGTTTAAAATGATTTTTAAGGAGCAGCGGGTATACCTGAGAGTCTCTAAGTGTTGGGAAGTTGTCGTTGACATCCTTCACTTTAATAGTACATTCACACTGAGTGGATAGTCCATCTCCATCTTTGTCTGCACCAGTCACAACAAGACGATAGCTGCTAATTTGCTAAATTTGGAGGGAATAAATAAAAATTAATTAATCTTCCAAGAATAGGAATGGCGATGTTTTGCTTCCTGTGGGTAAGAAGGTGAAAACATTGAAGTTCGTGGTCATTGCCGGGAAGGATCCCATGCATTGTTGACTGTCCATCCTAGAGGAGATTTGTGGGGCTCTGGATGACTGGATGGAAGTCTTGAAGGTGCTAGAATATTTTTTTTTTGTAATCTTCTTGTGGCAAGACAGGATATTCAAAACAAAAGTGGACAATGAGTATGGTAGGATGGTTATGTGGGGAGAGCTCTCTTATGGAACTTCCCTGTTCATCTATTTGGAAAATCATTTGTGCAAAAAATAGTATGGAGTTGGCCAGGGTGGTTTTTGGTGGTGGAGGTAGATGGTGGTAGTGGACGATGTTGGGGAGAAAAGAGGAAGGGGCTTCTTTAGTGTTTGGGAAGCAGGGGTAAAAAGTGAAGAAGGCTTTGGCTTTCCTTCTAAGAAGTTTTATTTTCTTCCACCATATGAAGGATTAGTCACAGTTCAATATTTGTCTGCTAGTCACTGAACTGTTATATTTTATTTTATATTTAAAGTGTTTTATTTATTTTAATTTTATCTGAAAGGCAAAGAGATGGGAGAAAGAAGAGAAGGAAGAAAGCAACAAAAAAGGGAAAAATCCTCCATCTGCATTAAACCAATGCCATTTTAACTCTCCCATTGTGACATCCACTTGTAGGTTTGAGACACAACGGATCGCAAAGAACCCAAATACATATCTCATCTCCCTGAATCACGTTCCAGAATGCATAGAATTTCCTTAAATTGGCTTAGGTGAGTATGGAAGCCTCTTTTCTTTGCGCCTTTCATTCTTAGGTCAAATGGAGTCACCTTTTTTGGATATCTTTCAATCAAGCTCTTTATTATGGTATGCACCCAAGTGCTTTTATTTACCTCGCGATCAAGAGAATTGGTCAAAGTTCTGACTTCTCCAGTGTTTCTGCTTATGAGAAACATGGGTGCGCCTGCAGGTTCCTGAGAGACAATTTTGAAGGCAATTTTAGAGTTCAAATGATTTGGCTCATCTGCATCTGTGGCATTGAGTATCATCACCAATGAGTCTAGGAACACAGAGAAATGTTCATTAAAGAATATGTAAAGATTGACTTTATGTTCACATTAAATATTCAACACAGTTTCACATTGATCCTATTTTTAACATATTAAAACTGTCTGCATGCTCAACACAAACTACATGTCATTTGTGTTCTCTCTTTTTGTCTCTCTCAACTAAGTAGAGCCTTGATGTCTTCCATAAGTATCCTCAGTTATAGAACAAGCATTTAATCTACTGGTTAATATACCCATGTCTCACATCGGAATAGCTGAATTTAACTCCTGGGTCTTGACTCCAGTTTTTTGCTAATGTAAACCCTGTAATGGTAATTGGGTTCCTGTTGCCCATGTCAGAAACCCAGATTTAGCTCCTGCCTCCCAGCTCTGGCCCTAGCCATTTGGGGAATCAACCAGGGGGTGGTAGCTCTGTCTACCTCTCTCTGTCTCTCTGCCTCTCAAATAAAAATTTGTTAAAAGATCCTTAGTTCTTCCTAAGACTTGACTTTCTTGAAGTCAAGGCTATTTTGTGGCTTTATCTCTTCCCTTAATGAATGCTCTTCTAATTCTCTCCTGTTCCCAATTAACCAAGAAATATGAGTATTTCTTTGTCCTTTATAATCTAAAAAAAACCCACCTCAGACATCTGTGCTACTAAGGTTTCCCCGTTTATCTCTGTGACTGCCTGATGCTCATATGTATGTATAGAATAAGATACTATTGCTCAGCTTAGAGGACTAAATCCTAGGAATACAATTGTAATGGATCATTAGCTCAACTAAAATTTTTAGAAAAGCAGAGCTAGATTATCTTTATGGATTTTATTCCAAAGCTATTGAGGAAACTCTGAGAAATTAGTTTATAAGAATTATACATTACAGTGATACTCATATTTGAAAAATAGATACATTGGAAGGGATAGATGTGGTAAGAGACTTACTTGAAGCACTGTTTTCTTCAATTTCACCCTCGAATGTTCTTTGTGAAAATACTGGTGAATTATCATTAACATCTAAAATTTTCACTGTTAACATAAGTGGCTTCTCTACATCTTGTCCCAGGACATTTAGGGCACGACAGGTGATCTAGGAATAAAAGGAAAGTATCAATTATTGCTCTATAAGCTTAAATTGCGTATTATTAAGACTTGTAGAATGAAGGTCTTCGGTGGCGTGTACTGAACTTTCATGCAAAGAAGAAAAATATTTCTCCAAATGGTAGACAAAGTGGAAATAGGAGCCCACTCCTGGCAGACCAACTGAGAAAGCAGCCCCTTCCTCCAGCTGGTGGATGTCATGGCAGGAAAAGCTCTGGGCAAGCTGGGTGCTGGACTTCCACCTTCACTCATACACACTCCTAGGAGATTTCTGCAGGTGTACCCATTATAAAGTGCAGGTTATTTGTTATTTGTTGAGGAATCAATTTCAGTGGTGATCTCTCCTCTAAATCACCAACAGAAGAGTGTCACCTTCCAAAGCCGTGTGAATAAGAAGAGTAGGCAAGTTTTGAGGATCCAAACTTACCAGGAAGCTTGGGGTTTCTTCTCTGTCTACTATGGCTGTTATGTTAATATCTCCAGTGTTTTGGTCAACCACAAAGATTCCAAAAGGAGGCTGATCAATTCCTACCCCAGAGATTCGGTAGGTAATCTTCTGAGTTGCTTGGAAATCTGAAGTAATCTGTAGCCAAAAATACCCAAAATGTTAAGGTGATCACCACTCTGCTTTTCTTCACTGCCCTGCCTTTATCTACTTCCAGAGTCTAAACTCATCTGTTCATTTGATTCTCTTTCTGCCATTTACTTTATTATTTTTTTTGATCTTAAAAGACACAAAGAATGTGAAATAAATCCAAATTGTTGCTTATGTTGATTCTCATAAACTGATTAATACATTAATCATGTTGGCTTTCAAATATTTGCTTGGACGGTTGCACTGGTGATGTTAGAATGTTGAGAGGAAGTCAAGGACACTTAACACTTACTACTGAAAAGTCTACTTCAGAATGGTCCTTCTTTACCTAACAACTTTTGAAAAAAGGTGGGGAGAGGCAAGCTGTTAGCCTGGCACTTAGCATGCTGCATGGGTTGCTCCCACCCCATAGTTACTGCCCGGGTGAGTCCTACTCCACTGCTTATTACACCTCCCCACCACTGCACGCCCTGGGAGGCAGCTCAAGCAGTTTGGCTCCCAAGTGGGAGACGTAGACCAAGTTCGTAGCTCCTGGTTTTGGCTTGATCTGCCTTGCCCATTACAGACATTTGAGTTTGACAGTAGGAGCGAATTCTCTCTCTCTCTCTCTCTCTCTCTCTCTCTCTCTCTCTGTGTGTGTCTCTGCTTCTCGAATAAATAAAATAAATAAAAATCTTATTCATGGTCTGTTTAAAAATTTAAACATTTAATACTTTCCCCCAGAAACCTTTTATTTAAGGTATTTAAACTTCATGCATTTCATAAATACTACCTTAGGAACATAGTGAATCTTCCTATCCTACCCACCCTCCCATCTGCCCTCTCACCCCTCCTCCTCCCTCTCCTATTCCCATTCTGATTATTTTTACTAAGATCTACATTCAATTAATTGTATACACATAAGATTAACTCTATACTAAGAAAAGAGTTCAACAAATAGTATAAAAAATCTTTTTCTCAATAGTCCAGACAAGGGCTATTCAAAATCATTGCATCTCATAGTGTCAATTTCACTTCTATAGATTACCTTTTCGGTGCTCTATTAGTTACCACAGATCAAGGGAAACAGATGGCATTTGTCCTTTTGGTACTAGCTGATTTCATTAAGTGTAAAAAAATCCTGACTTCAAGAAATTTTTCACCAAAATCAAATAAAGATCTAGCTCTAGGAGAGTATTTCAAAAAGTTCATGGAAAATGGAATTAAAAGTTAAATTTTTTTTAAAAATAGATGTTTATTTAAGTTTAGGGAGAAATGGGGAGGAAAATGAAAGAGATTATATAGTAAGTGACAAAGTATATATTATAATGAATTTTTTTTATAATTTTAAGCTTTTTAATAGGGAAAATGTGAAATATATACAAAGTTAGAATAATTTAATAAACCTGATACATCTTATCACCCAACTTCAACAATGATCAATACTTTGGCCAATCCAGTATTTATGATCAACCATTTTTCTAATTGTCTTAGCAATTTTCTTTTTTTTTTTTTTTTTTGACAGGCAGAGTTAGACAGTGAGAGAGAGCGAGAGAAAGGTCTTCCTTCCATTGGTTCATCCCCCAAATGGCCGATATGGCTGGCGCGCTGCGGATGGCACGTTGTGCTGATCTGAAGTCCGGAGCCAGATGCTCCTCCTGGTCTCCCATGTGAGTGCAGGGCCCAAGCACTTGGGCCATCCTCCACTGCCTTCCTGGGCCACAGCAGAAAGCTGGACTAGAAGAGGAGCAACTGGGACAGAAGGACAGAATCCAGCACCCCAACTGGGACTAGAACCTGGAGTACCAGTGCCGTAGGCGGAGGATTAGCCTAGTGAGCTGTGGCGTCGGCCATCAATGTTTTATATATATATATATATAATATATTTGTATTTTATAATCTGGATCTAAATAAGGCTTCCATAATAAAGTTGAAAGATAAATAAATAATGTTGGTCAATATGTTACTTAATTCTTTTTTATAACTCTAGAAGCTAAGTTTATCTCCCTCTCCTTCCTATTATTAATATTTAAATATTTATTTACTTATTTGAAAGTCAGAGTTACAGAAAAAGAGAAGGAGAGAGATCTTCTATCTGCTTGTTCACTCCCCAAAAGGCCACAATGGCAGACCAAAGCCAGGAGCCTTTCTGGGTCTCCCAAGTGGGAGACCAAGCATCTGGGCCATCCGCCACTGGTTTTCTCAGGCCATTGGCAGGGTACTGGATTGAAAGTGGAGTAGTCAGGACATGAACTGGTGCCCATATGGGTTGCTGGCATTGCTGGCATTGCTGGCAGTGGCTTTACTGGCTAAGCTGTAATACTGGGGGTGGGGTGTGTGGGGGGCGTTATTATTGTTACAGTATTTCTTGAAGATACCAGTTCATTTGTTCCGTAGAGTCCTCAATATGCATTTTGCCCATTGGAATTGCCATGTTCTTCTAATTAACATCTTGTAAACTCATTCTAACTACATTGCCCTTGCCCATACAACTCACCTTGGCAATGGGGTTTCTTTTTGAGTTGTCTTCTCTTTCTCTGCAGGGTTTTGCGAATTTCACCCATTCACGTTTATACCTTCTTCTGGCTTGCTGCGTTGCTGCCCCATCTTCCTCATGTTGTCCTTTTATCTTATGTCAAAAGGGATACCATATGGACATTGTTGGCGATTTTTATTTTAACTACTGATTATGGACAGCTAGGTTGAGGAACCCCTTATGTCTCAAGCTATCTAAGACTGTTGCTGATGTCTGACATGATGTCTTGACTTTGTCAAGAAAGAAAGAAAGAAATGTTAAATAACTAAAACAATTATGAAGCTATATGATTTTAATATTAACATTTAATCATATTTTATACTTCCTTTATATATATCACACTATCTAACTGTTCTGGACACATAGAATTTGGCCATTGATTTATTTATTAAGAAAAAACCATGGGACATAAAATTACATTAATGACATTTATAGATGACTAATTTTTGAATATTGCTGGGTTAGTTGTTAGAATCTCATCTTAAATATTTTCACAATTACATTAGCAATCAATTTTAAACACTAAATTTTTATTTCTCCAAAACACAATTTTAATCTTTAAGCTAAACTACTTGTTTTAATCACAAAAGATTTTTTCATACTTTACCTCTATTCGCAGTTCTCCATGAACCAATACAACCACCTGTAGACATTTAAATAAAGTCAGATTAATGTGAATTCTTCAAATAAGAAATGGCATAAAGCTAATTATCCAGATGATCACATCTGCTACTCATATTACAGTTAGTTTGTATTTTAAAAGAAGTACATTTGGAGAAGCAATGTTTAAATAGTCAGTTCCTACCAGGAAATGAACTATTGCTGTCAGGATAAATAAATACTTCCAGTTCTTGAATCTGACTAGAATTAAAAAAAATATATTTATTTATTTATTTGAAAGTAAGAGTTACACAGAATATTAGAGGGGGCGGAGCCAAGATGGCGGAATAGTGAGGGCGCACACCGATAGTCCGGGAAAATTTAGTTTAATAAAAGGGGAGTTACGGTAGCCGCAGAAAATGGAACCAAAAAATTGCAGGGGAAACCCTTCTGGATGGAGCAGGCGTGAATTGGAGGACCTACTGGGAGAACAAGGTCGCCCACCGCGCGGAAGCCAAGTTGCGGGACCCAGCCGCAGAAGCCCCAGGGTCTACGCGACAGTGCTCCAAGGGGAGTGCACGCCACACAGACAACAGCGGGGAGACTTGGGACGCTCAGGACTCCGAGTCCACACATCGGCGCTGGAAGGGGAGGTGAGCTCAATAACCCGAGACATTGGTGGGGAAACAGGGGTCAGAATCTAGAGGGGGGCCGGAAAGTGCAGCAAACTCACTACCGGAAAGAAGGAAAAAAAAAAGCTTCAGGGTTTCTCTTCCCCCTAACCTTGCAAAGGTTAGAAGGCTGCAACACTTGAAGAATTCCCAAGAGACAAAGAGCAGGCCTCCTCTTTGGATTTACATATCAATGGGGGAGAGTTAAGGAACTGAGTCACTACAATTCAGTAGCCTAGGCAACCCAGTGGGAGTCCAGAGGAGCCAAAGACTGGAAGCTAAATACCATCAATGCTGCACAGCCCTGCCCTGCGGTGTTACTTACCCCCTGAATAAATAAAATAAATAAATAAATAAAAAGAGAGAGATTTACCACGCATAACCTGAGGGTGTCACCTTTGCACACCCTTAACCAGGAAGAACCAGGCAGAGCTCTCAGGCCACACCCATCTCAAGCCTCCAAGGCTCCTCCAACAGCAGGCAGTCCACTTAACAGGGACACAGTTATAAAAAAAAAACATAAAAAAAAACACATCGCACAGTGACGCAAGAAGAATTACTATGCCGAGTAACAAACACAGAAATAGAGGGAGCAAGATCAACGATGACACTATGATGCCTCCAAATAAGCAAAACACCCCAAGCCAAGAGTATGAAGATGATGAGATAGAAGAAATGCAAGATACGGATTTCAAAAAATTTATGATAAGAACATTTAGAAGTTTTCAAAAGCAAATCCTTGAACTACAGAAATCCTTAACGGACAAGATTGAAAATCTCTCTCGTGAAAATGAAATTTTAAGGAAGAGTCAAAATGAAACTCAGAAACTAGTAGAACAGGAAAGTGTAATAGTCAAGAGAAATCAAAATGAAATGAAGAGCTCAATAGATCAAATGACAAACACATTAGAAAGCCTTAAAAACAGAATGGGTGAAGCAGAAGAGAGAATATCGGACTTAGAAGATAGAGCACAGGAAAACATACAGTCAAACCAAAGAAAAGAAGAGGAAATTAGAAACCTAAAAAATATTGTTGGGAATCTACAGGATACTATTAAAAAAACCAACATTCGAGTTCTAGGAGTTCCTGAAGGCATGGAGAGAGAGAAAGGATTGGAAGGCCTTTTTAGTGAGATACTAGCAGAGAACTTTCCAGGTTTGGAGAAGGACAGAGATATCCTAGTACAGGAAGCTCATAGAACCCCCAATAAACATGACCAAAAGAGATCCTCACCACGACACGTGGTAATTAAACTTACCACAGTGAAACATAAAGAAAAGATCCTAAAATGTGCAAGAGAGAAACGTCAGATTACTCTCAGAGGATCTCCAATCAGACTCACAGCTGACTTCTCATCAGAAACCCTACAAGCCAGGAGGGAATGGCGAGACATAGCACAGGTGCTAAGAGAGAAAAATTGCCAGCCCAGAATATTATATCCTGCCAAGCTCTCATTTGTGAATGAAGGTGAAATAAAGACCTTTCATAGCAAACAGAAATTGAAGGACTTTGTGGCCACTCGTCCGGCCCTGCAAAAGATACTTAAAGATGTGCTACACTCAGAAACACAGAAACACGGCCATCAATATGAAAGAAGGGAAAGGAAGAACACCTACCAGTAAAAGAGCATGGGAAGCTCAAAGCATATACTAGAAAATATTTCCGGGAAAATGGCAGGGCAAAGTCACTACATATCAATTGTCACATTGAACATTAATGGTCTGAATTCTTCAGTTAAAAGACACCGTTTGGCTGACTGGCTCACAGAACACAACCCAACTATTTGTTGCCTACAAGAAACACATCTCTCTAACAAAGAGGCATGCAGACTGAAAGTGAAAGGTTGGAAAAAGATATTCCATGCCAACAGAAACCAAAAAAAAGCAGGTGTAGCCATATTAATATCAGACAAAATAAACTTTAATACAAAAACTGTTAAGAGAGACAAAGAGGGACACTATATAATGATTAAGGGTTCAATTCAACAGGAAGATGTAACTATTATAAATGTATATGCACCTAATTACAGGGCACCGGTCTATTTAAAAGATATGTTAAGGGACTTAAAGGGAGATTTAGATTCCAATACAATAGTACTGGGGGACTTCAATACTCCACTCTCAGAAATAGACAGATCATCCGGACAGAAGATCAACAAGGAAACAGCAGATTTAATTGACACTATTGCCCAAATGGATCTAACAGATATCTACAGAACTTTCAACCCTACATCTACAGACTTCACATTCTTCTCAGCAGCACATGGAACTTTCTCTAGGATTGATCACATACTAGGCCATAAAGCAAGTCTCAGAAAATTTAAAAGAATTAGAATCATACCATGCAGCTTCTCAGACCACAGCGGGATGAAGCTGGAAATTAGCAACTCAGGAAACCCCAGAAAGTATGCAAACACATGGAGACTGAACAACATGCTCCTGAATTAACACTGGGTCATTCAAGAAATCAAAAGAGAAATCAAAAACTTTCTGGAAGTAAATGAAGACAACAACACAACATATCAAAACTTATGGGATACAGCAAAAGCAGTATTGAGAGGCAAATTTATAGCAATAGGTGCCTATATCAAGAAATTGGAAAGGTACCAAATAAATGAGCTTTCAGCGCACCTCAAGGACCTAGAAAAACTGCAGCAAACCAAACCCAAATCAAGTAGGAGAAGAGAAATAATTAAAACCAGAGAAGAAATTAACAGGATTGAATCCAAAAAAACATTACAAAAAATCAGCCAAGCGAGAAGCTGGTTTTTTGAAAAAATAAACAAAATTGACACCCCATTGGCCCAACTAACTAAAAAAAGAAGAGAAAAGACCCAAATCAATAAAATCAGAGATGAAAAAGGAAACGTAACAACAGACACCACAGAAATAAAAAGAATCATCAGAAATTACTACAAGGACCTGTATGCCAGCAAACAGGAAAACCTATCAGAAATGGATAGATTCCTGGACACATGCAACCTACCTAAATTGAACCATGAAGACATCGAAAACCTAAATAGACCCATAACTGAAACAGAAATTGAAACAGTAATAAAGGCCCTCCCAACAAAGAAAAGCCCAGGACCAGATGGATTCACTGCTGAATTCTACCAGACATTTAAAGAAGAACTAATCCCATTTCTTTTCAAACTATTCAGAACAATCGAAGAAGAGGGAATCCTCCCAAATTCTTTCTATGAAGCCAGCATCACCTTAATCCCTAAGCCAGAGAAAGATGCAGCACTGAAAGAAAATTACAGACCGATATCCCTGATGAACATAGATGCAAAAATCCTCAATAAAATTCTGGCCAATAGAATACAACAACACATCAGGAAAATCATCCACCCAGACCAAGTGGGATTCATCCCTGGTATGCAGGGATGGTTCAACATTCGCAAATCAATCAATGTGATTCACCACATTAACAGACTGCAGAAGAAAAACCATATGGTTATCTCAATTGATGCAGAGAAAGCATTTGATAAAATTCAACACCCTTTCATGATGAAAACTCTAAGCAAATTGGGTATAGAAGGAACATTCCTCAATATAATCAAAGCAATTTATAAAAAACCCACAGCCAGCATCCTATTGAATGGGGAAAAGTTGGAATCATTTCCACTGAAATCTGGCACCAGGCAGGGATGCCCACTCTCACCACTGCTATTTAACATAGTTCTGGAAGTTTTAGCCAGAGCCATCAGACAAGAAAAAGAAATCAAAGGAATACAAATCAAGAAGGAAGAAGTCAAACTATCCCTCTTTGCAGACGATATGATTCTGTACTTAGAGGATCCAAAGAACTCTACTAAGAGACTATTGGAACTCATAGAGGAGTTTGGCAAAGTGGCAGGATATAAAATCAATGCACAAAAATCAACAGCCTTTGTATACACAAGCAATGCCATGACTGAGAAAGAACTGCTAAGATCAATCCCATTCACAATAGCTACAAAAACAATCAAATACCTTGGAATAAACTTAACCAAGGACGTTAAAGATCTCTACGATGAAAATTATAAAACCTTAAAGAAAGAAATAGAAGAGG